AAATGATTAACATTAGTTTACTAATAATTATTTGTATGCATATCACGTCTCAATGTAGCAGCCACTTGCTTCTAGCAGAGTCAATGCTTTTCTGTTGATATGTTTTCTTATTGATATCTGATATTACCACTTTTAAAAATTAGGGTGCACTTTAAAAAGTATGAACTGACCCAAAAAGACAGTTCTAGTTCTAATTCTTTTATTTACCTACTTGAGAGACAGCTGGAATCATAATAACTGCGATTAATGATTTTATTCTCTTTTTTGGTAGTTTTATGCTGCTCTAAACTTGCTGGTTACAGTTAGCTTAACTTAGTAGCTGATATTACATGATGAACTCAAGCTCACTTACAGAAGCATCCTTAATTACACAGATTCGTGTGTATAATCAAACAAAGCTTCTGTTCACTGCTGGCAGCCCTTGTTTATGTTTACACAAGTGAAGCAGTTCAAATATCTGGCAGTACTAGCACTGTTTTTTGGTGTTTCCTGCGCTGGTCAGCTGATGTTGGAGCAACATGCTCAGATACACACAGATGCACACAGTCCATGTCTTCCTCACACACATTTAGGCCTAATCCCATTTCTCATTTTTACCCCTACAGATCCACTCTGATTTCTTAGATCGGAAGGCCTAGAAATCTGATAAAGAGGATCTGAGCTCAGTAATGGGTTTTTCAGTGCATGTAAGCCCTCACTCTGATTTCTTTCGTTTCTCTCAGTCTGCGCATGTGTGAAAACAGCGTTTAGCACATTACGAGACACACTACAACACTTGTGGAGTGACGCTGAAACGGAATACATGCCTGACAAAATGAAGGATTTGATTATTCTTCGTTTTCTAGATGATGTATATCCATATTTTCTGCGAAAGTGACAAAATAGAGCACGTAAACACACTGAACCAGTTACTGACACGGTAAACACACTCAGTGTCTGTAGGAGCTGCTTAAATATGACTTTAAAGCAGCTGTTACTCCTCAGGGAGCTCTCAGTCCGTGCGGTCATGTTCTGATCTCCCTCCTCTGAGTGGAGCCTGTAAACATCCAGAGCAGAAGGAGGAGCAGGAGGAGAACTTCTCTCCCTCAGAGAGGTGGAAACTCGCGTCTCATCCGGAGAAGGAGGGGAAAACGCCCAGTTCAGAGATATTTGCATGTTTTCATCACAAACTGCGTGAATGAAGTAAAAATCCTGATAAAAGGCCTTTCTGGAGCCGGTTCGGACGGTTCGGACGGTTCGGCAGATGCTAACGAGCTAACAGCCAAACAAGTTACTACAGTGTTCAGAGTTAATCTTTAACTTACTGAATTATTCACTCTGAATCTGGAACACAGGGAGTTAAACGTTACCTGAATGACTGTTAGAAGCTTCGTTTGTCCAAAGTCTGTGTGTGGAGTGGACAAAAACTTTAAATTAAAATCTTCTATAGCGAGTTAGCATAAATTAGACTGGTTGGGGGTGTTTTTTGGTCAAAGAAAGTAACTTTTCTAATAAAGTACTAATACTAATAAAGTAACCACTGTTATATAACTGATATATGAATATGCGTGCGCTGGAAAGGCCATTTACATGGTGTTAAAGTGCAGAAATAAGTCGTTTATTTCATGCTCTTCATGCTGTGTGTTTGTGGTGGAGCTTCTTCACAGCTCTTAGTAAAGTTCTCACTGGCAGATTCACCAAATTCAGTCCTGACAGCAGATAATCAGTGAGCGTCATTATGTGGACAGTATTTTATTTTTAATGATTAATTTATTGTAAATACTACAGATGTGTGTTTAAAAAATGACTTTCAGAACATATATTTTTTTTTACCCGATTTTCTCCCCACTTTAGTCGTCTCCAATTCCACCCGCTAGTTAGGACTCCCCCAATCACACGATGCTATCAACGCTAGGAGGGCGAGGCTAACACAGGCTTCCTCCGAGACCTGGGAAACCAGCCACCGCATCTTTTCGAGCTGCCGCTCACGCAACGTCATTGAAGGAAAGCGCCAACCGCCAGATCTGTTACGTCAGCTAACAGACGCCTGCGCTGACTAGCATCGCGCTGAGTGAGGGATGGGGGAGAAAGGCAGCCATCCCACCCACCCAGAGAGAGCGAGGCCAGTTGTGCTCTCTCGGACTCCCGGCTACGGATGGCTGTAACATCACCAGGGATCGAACTCGCGATCTCCTGATGACAGGGCCAACGCTTAGACGGTTGCGCCACTCGGGAGCTACATTTAGAACATATTTTGATGCCTCTAAAAACCTATTTTACAACTGTAAGCCATGAAAAAGTGTTGGGCCATTACTGGAATAACATGTTTCTGTTCTAGAATGTTCTTAAAAAATTTACACTGCGTTAGAATGGGGGGAACATCCATATTTATTCAGTCTAGAACAGTGTAAATGTTCTTCATCTTTCACACTGTTCTAGAATGCACCCCCCCCCCATTCACACTGATCTCAAATGTTCTCTCTATTCACGCTGTTCTGTAGCGTCATCCCCAATCACGCTGATCTTGAATGTTCTCCCCCATTTACACTGGTCTAGAATGTTCCTCCTGTTCACATTGTTCTAGAATGTTCTTCTCATTCACGCTGATCTCAAATGCCCTCCACATTCACACTGATCTTGAATGCCCTCCACATTCACACTGATCTTAAATGCCCTCCACATTCACACTGATCTTAAATGCCCTCCACATTCACACTGATCTTGAATGCTCTCCTCCATTCGCACTGATCTTGAATGCCCTCCACATTCACACTGATCTTAAATGCTCTCCTCCATTCGCACTGATCTTGAATGCCCTCCACATTCACACTGATCTTGAATGCTCTCCTCCATTTGCACTGATCTTGAATGCCCTCCACATTCACACTGATCTTGAATGCTCTCCTCCATTCGCACTGATCTTGAATGCCCTCCACATTCACACTGATCTTGAATGCTCTCCTCCATTCGCACTGATCTTGAATGCCCTCCACATTCACACTGATCTTGAATGCTCTCCTCCATTCACACTGATCTTGAATGCCCTCCACATTCACACTGATCTTGAATGCCCTCCACATTCACACTGATCTTGAATGCTCTCCTCCATTCGCACTGATCTTGAATGCCCTCCACATTCACACCGATCTTGAATGCTCTCCTCCATTCTCACTGACCTTGAATGTTCTCCCCATTCACACTGTTTTAGAATGTTCTCCCCATTCTCACTGATCTTGAATGTTCTCCCCCATTCTTGGTGACCTGGAATGCTCTCCTCCATTCACACTGATCTTGAATGCTCTTTCCATTCACACTGTTATAAAACGTTCTCCCCATTCACAATGTTCTAGAATGTCGTCACCCTTTTAGAGTGCCCTAGAATGTTCTCCATAATACACACTGTTCCACTCTGTGAAGAACATTCTAGCACGGTATAAATGTTCTAAAATACTCTCCTCATTCTATAACAGTGTGAATCCAAACTGTTCCAGAATGTTCTCCCCATTCACACTGTCATATTTTAATATATGTCCTATGTATGCAAGTTATTACCAGTTTGTTCTTTTACTGGCTGTTCCTCTTGGACGGGTTGTGACACTCCCCACTCCTCTATCTAGAACAGTTTAACTGCTCAGCTTCCAGCACGCCTCCAAACAGCACTGCAGCCTCCACAGCCTCCACTGCCCCTCTTCTGCGTCCTCCTCCTCCGTCTCTCTGATCCTCATCACACCGTTCAGGATGGACTGGAGTTCTCTGACCTGCTGTTTGCTGTTTTCTGGTAAGAGCAGCTCAGTTTTCAACTGTTTCTTATTCATCCAGTGTTTCAGTCGTTCCTTCATTCTTTAATGAAGATATTAAGCTTCTCTTCTTCTCTGAGGACTTCAGAAATGCAGATGTAGCAGATGTGGTTGTGAAGCTGGTCTAAAAATTATAATTTAATGACAAAGTAATAAAGGATTGGCTGGTGCTGGTTGTGGATTTGCGTTTATAATGTGTTAATAGATTATAAATTGTAAACATGTCAGTAAATTCAGCACTCTGGATTTTATAGAAAGGGGAATTCCACCACTTTCTTAAAATTTCTGCATAATTTAGTGTTTAAGATGTGAACAGGGCGATTCAGAGTGGTTTGGTGTGAAGGGCACCAGGGATCGCCATGACTACAACACAAATATAGACATTTTATTTACTATCCAGAACCACCAGTGAACCTACACGAGTCTTCGGAGCTTTTATTTATAGTGTAAATCTTCTCAAAGCTATCATAAAACAGTGTCTCAGTCATCAGGCAGTGAATTCATAACCATTTCTTGTAGTAACTTTCTGTGAGGGAGCTTTTAGAGGTGGACGTCTGGTTCCTATCACCACCACTGTGAACAGTTCTGACTCTGTAAGTTTCTCTAGAAAAGAGCATTTCACACCAAACCACTCTGAACGGCTCTGTTTACAGCTTAATTATATAATTATGCACAAAAGTGAGAAAGATCTGTAGATTTCTCTTTAAATGTCTCTGTAGTTTCTTCTAGACAGCAAAATCAGAAGGAAAGATGAAGGAGATTATAGCTTAAGTCTCTCCTGCTGCTCAGATGTTTCTCCTGAGAAAAAGAGCTCAGTAGCGCCACATATGTCTCCTCCTGAGCTTTAGTAGATACCTAAAGTCACACACTGTGTGCAGATTTGCTGAGATAATCGCTCATTTTTATCAGCAGTTAAACTCTCATCTCTCCTTTTTGTCTAATGCTGTTTCTCCTAAGCAGATTTAGAAGAATCAAGGTTGAGTCTCAAAGACTTAAAGGCATCAAAGAATTTCCTTTAGGAGACAGATTAAGATCTAAACAGGAAGAGAGGGCCCTAACAAAACAGTTAATCAGGAACCGATGCTGCCCACAGGACTCTGTTGGCTGGATATTTTTGGTTGTTGGACTATTCTCAGTCCAGCAGTGACACTGAGGTGTTTAAATACTCCAGCAGCACTACTGTGTCTGATCCACTCGCACCAGCACAACACACACTAACACAACATGGCCTGCTCTCCTCCTGACCCCCGAGTTAAGAACCCATGGTCTGAAGCTCTCTTTAACTATCTTAGACTCTTCTGTGTAAGTAGACTTTATTTCCCTCACTAGAATAGGTTAATAGCTCTGCAGATGGCTGAGAGGATCCCCCAGTAATCAGAGAGAGTCTTTATGTGATGTCTAATCTTTGCTGATTTATTTGTTGTGTTTTCCACTAAACTATTTCAAATTTTCTGTTCCACATTAAATGATGCAGCAGTTACATGCAGGCGCCTCAAGAACTTGGCAAATCAAGTGACTTTAGACCAAGCTTAAAGCCTCAGGGAACCTACATCAGTGTTTTCTTTCTAAGTAGGTCAGTTCTGCTCTTATGGACGGTTGCCACAGTACGCCGCATGAATACTTTCCATTGTCCAATAAATGACGTATAAATAAAGTATTTCTTGTCTTCTGGTGTAAAAGACAAGAAATACTTTTCCCTCCTATTCCCTCCTGTACAGCTTTAATAAAAAACAGGCCTTCCCCGTTCTCTTTAGGTCTGAGCAACTTAGTAAGCGAAAGTCAACTAGCAAGCAAAAACTGATCTAGCAAGCCTAACCAAGCTAGCAATCGACCTCATCTGTCTCTTTGTCTACCTTTTGACCACAGTGGGGGTGTCTAAAAGTAAGAATACCTGCATATTTAGAGGTTGCTTATTATTTTACTTCTATGTCACACTTTTACACCTTATAATTCAAAATCATTTTGAATATATATATATATATATATATACACTGATCAGGCATAACATTATGACCAACTCCTTGTTTCTACACTCATTGTCCATTTTATCAGCTCCACTTACTATATAGGTGCACTTTGTAGTTCTACAGTTACAGACTGTAGTCCATCTGTTTCTCTGCATACTTTGTTAGCCCCCTTTTACCCTGTTCTTCAGTGGTCAGGACCCCCATGGACCCTCACAGAGCAGGTGCTATTTGGGTGGTGGATCATTCTCAGCACTGACGTGGTGATGGTGTGTTAGTGTGTGTTGTGCTGGTACGAGTGGATCAGACACAGCAGTGCTGATCCACCACCTGCTCTGTGAGGGTCCATGGGGGTCCTGACCACTAAAGAACAGGGTAAAAGGGGGCTAACAAAGTGGAGGTCATATATCAACATTGTCCAGAAACACTGCTGACTTCTCTGGGCTCAAGCTTATCTGACATGGACTGATGCTCAGTGGAAACGTGTGTTGTGGTCTAACGAGTGAATCTTTTAGATTGTTTATAGAAATAATTGACTTCTAAAGCCAGGGTCCGTCATGGTGTAGGGGGGATATAGTGGTAACCTGAATATTTGTGAAAGCACCTTCAACACTGAATATATTTTGAAGCAAAATTTTCGACCTCCTTGTAGATGCTGTATTTTAAGGGGCGTCTATGTTTATTTCAACATGACAACACTAAGAAACATTCTCTCAATGTCTCCTATTGAAAATAGGAAATGCTTTCAAAGGAACATGTGGGAATCTGTTGCTGGCATCAAAATTGGAATGAGCATATATTTACAAAAACAATGAAGCTGGTAAGGTAAAACATCGTGTTTTCAATTTAATACAGGTCAGACAGAATTCACTAATCACTGATTTCTGTTTTCAGTAGCATTTTACATATTGTCACAATTTTTGGGAATTGAGGTACATTATCATCGTTATCATGAGCATCAGAATTCCTCAGTTTTAAACTATTACGCAGCAATAAATACAGTACATTTAAGGATTAACAATTACAGGGAAACTAGTTGTAAACAATATAAATTTTACAAAAACACAAAATGTTTGAAGGCAGTGGAATTATTATTGTACAAAAGAATATAATTAATATTAGCTACCAAAATCTTTTCTGTCTGTTCTCAGTTTGATTGTGAGTGATCCTTTACTACAGCGCGGGAATAAAAGAGGTCAAGTTTACAGCTGCATGATGAACTCAAACTGCTCACCATTACGGATTAATGGTATTAAATCACCACATTTGGTATTTTCAGACACATTTTCTTTTAAGTAATGTAGAGTATTTATTGTACTTAAATATTTATTGTACATTAAAATATTTTCAGAAATCCTTTTGCAAAACGTTAACCAAACTGTCCTCTTTCAAAAATGAACACAGAGCCTCCTTAGGCTGTTAATATGTCCCTTGGTCTTTCAATGACTAAAGATCCACGGTCTTCAAAGATAATGGTAAGACTCCAGACTCTCCCAATCCGTACATAAAGAAGGATCAGTGACGCTGTATACAAGTACAGTAAATATATATTCTCCTTCTGTACAAATATCAGACAGAGGACCAAGTTATCTTCGAAATTAGATTGAAAACTGTTTGACAGTTTTGGTTAATTTTCTCAATGCTTGGTGAACAATGAACACTGGGCCCCAACCTAACAGGTTTAGTGTGACCTGTTGACCTTTTTTCCTCCTCAGGTCTGTGGTCCAACCATCCCCAAAGACTGCAAATCAACCACCACCTACAACGGCATGTGTTTTACGATAGAAGGTAGAAATGTTGATGCTGTTCCGAGGGAATTGAGAGGTAAGTCATATGGGGATCTACAAACCCAACAAAAGTCCAAAACTTTGCAAAGATCCATTTTTCATCTGTCCTGTTTGTTCTTCGTTCTCAGATTGCCCACCTCCCGCACAAACAGATATTGCTTTTCTGTTGGACGGCTCTGGGAGTGTAAATCGCTATGACTTTAACAAAATGAAGGAATTTGTTATAAAACTGATCCAAGGGTTAATAAGCTGGGATATTCGGGTACGTACAGAAAAGTCTCACACTGTATTAATATTTTCCATTTAGGGCCTGATAACTTATTGTCATTACTGTAGAGGTTGGAAACTGATTTGGATACAATGTTGTTGCAGGGTGAAAAACATAGCCAGACAACGGGGTCTCATTCACATATAGTGCATATGTACTAAATTGTGCTTTTTTTTCTACTTTCATATAAACACTTCCTGGAGACTCAAAAAAATTGATTGTTGTGAATCTTAAACTGTTGATTTATGATTAAATTTCAATACAGCATGTTTAGGTGAAAAGATAAATGCATAGAAGATCAATATCAACAGATTCTTTAAGCCCTGTAATCAATGAGTGAAAGACATGTCATCTGGCAAACAGGTGTGTGGTCAATTCCTCCTTCCTCTAATCTTATCTTTGAATCTCTTCCTCGTGTCCTCAGAGGGAGGAGCTAAGATGCAAGGAAAAGATGCAAACAAAGGAAACACAGAATTAAAGATATGAGAAGCACCCCTTTGTGTAACTGCCTTATATGGAGTCTGGGGTGTGTAATAGGCTAATTTCCAGTTGTGGACATGCGCTAATTAATTTAGAATAAATCAAATTCATCAACATTCGCAGGACGGTAAGTTAAATTAGTTAAAATAGTAAATAAGTTAAATTGGTGAAGATATCTTCACTGATTGTGGCCAAAGATTTCCATTATTATTAATCGGTTTCCAGAATGCTTCTGGCTGATATAGATGTAGTTTTGCTAACTTTAGACAAGTTTTGTGATGAGTTTGCATTTAAAGTTTTCTTCTGAAACCATACAGATCATAATTGTGAAATTCAGTGGTGTACGAAGTACACAAACCCTGTACTTGAGTTAAAGTAGAGATACCCAAGGTAAAATATTACTCCAGTAAAAGTAGAAGTTCCTCCCTTTAGACCTCCACATAAACCAAAAGGAACGACAGATTTCTCAGAATGTAGTGGAGTAAAAAGTGAGATATTTTAACTTTGAAATGTAGTGGAGTGAAAGTAAAAAGTCCCCCAAAATGGAAAAACTTCAGTAAAGTACAGATACACGAAAAAATGACTTTTATTACATTTACATTCACTTCATTACTGTTCACCACTGGGGAAATTGTGATATTTCAGACAGATTTGATATCTTTTTATAGCCTGTTTTGATGACATCAATTAGCTTTATTGATCCTCTAAGAGAAAGAAAGAGCTACTTAGAGGAGCACATGGTTGTTGACTGTTAGTACAACATTTAAAGAGTCAAAGACTTTATAACACTCTGGAATTTTCACTAACTGACAATTTCTAATGACAACTCTTGACCTACCTATTCAGTCTGAATGAGTCGATTAAGCCTAATGAGTTGATTATGTTCTGACACTTTACAACAAGAAGGGGGTTAAAAATTTGCACATGCCACAATTAATAGTTTTTAGTCTATTAACTTCATCAAATTTAAAGAAACCATGTTTTACCATTTTCAGAAAAATGTTATTTTTTAAATAGTTCTCAGGGGTTGTTTAATTCTTTTGATGTGAACAACCCCTTTTTGATGTCAGAAATCAACAGCAAGCAAGCAAGCAAAGTTTTTTTATATAGCGCTTTTTATAATAGGTGTTGTCACAAAGCAGCTTTACAGAAAAATCTGGGTCAGAGCCCCCATGAGTGTCGCCAGTGGCGACAGTGGCAAGGAAAAACTCCCTAAGAGCAACAGAAGGAAACCTTGAGAGGAACCAAGACTCAAAAGGGGAACCCATCCTCCTCTGGTCCACACCGGATAGCAAACAACAAAATGTGTAATTTGGCCAGGGTTGCCCAAACTTTGCCCAACCACCTCAGCATTGGCCCTATGCCACAGCCATTCATAGCCAGGAGTCCAAGAGGGCACAACTTTCTGTGGGTAACAGAATTAGTGGTTAGAGTGTTCAGCTGTCCAATGACATTGTAGCAGTTAGAAAAGATGTGGTGGAGCTTCACGTGTCTCAGGGAAAGCACATGCTGGCCTTCACCCTCCCAGCTTGGTAGCTTTGTGTGATAAGGGGAGACTAAACTGGGGGAACAAGTTTAAAAAAATGAATATGACCATCTCTTATTGCACAAATGACATCAGTCAGTCAGTCAGTCAGTCAGTCAGTCACACTGGCTCTGTCAAATAATGTCACAGGAATAAATCAGGTGCAGCTTCTTACTAAAATCATGTCCCAGGTGTTCAGTTGAATGTACAGTTACAATGTGTAGATTATATGACTGATCAGCTAAAGGTTAAAAAGATAGTTGCTGAATGTTATTAATGTTGGATAAAAAGATGTGCAATATTTCTGTTTTGAAATTTTAAGGTTTTTCAGGGGTCGATCATCAAACTGAACCCTCAGAACTGTTATATTATGTTGTGTTGTGAATGTGCCGTAAACTCGCCTCACTTGCATTGTTCTCTCTTTCCTTTCAGTTTGCTGTTGCACAGTATTCTGATTACTGTACAATCCATGTAGACTTCACTTCCCGTTTAAACACCTATGAAATAAGGAATATTCAACAGATGGGTAGTATTACCAACACTGGACAAGCGATCAACAAGCTTGTGTAAGGATTATTCATGTGTGTAAAAGGTGTGATCTCATGTTATGGAAGATGACTGATATAACTAACAGTAACTTCAGGACAAACATGCCAGTTTTAAATGTTACTGCTACACAGCTGAACTGAGCCTTTGTTTAATTTACACACAGGAATGAACTGTTTGCCAATAAAGCCAGACCAAACACTAACCGAGTTTTGATTGTTATCACTGATGGTCAGTCAAGTCCTGATGATGATGATCTGTGGGCTGCTGCTGAAAATGCGAGGCGGAATAAGATTATTCGCTATGCTATAGGGGTAAGACATTCTCCTACATTAACACAGTCTGCACTACAGATTCTCACCTCACTGAAAACACCACATCAGTCCATATTTTTACTCTCCATAAGGTTTTTATTTTAATTTGTATTTTGAATTGTGCTTCAGTAAAACTTGTAGTTTTCCACTTATTTGTGTGATTTATTTGAAATTAATTCAAGCATGTGTATCCACTGCTTCCCTGGTGGTCTAGTGGCTAGGACTTGGCACTCTTACCGCCACAGCCTGGGTTTGATTCGCGGTCAGGCAAGTCCTCTGTTTCTTGCGGGGGCTGTCATGGGCTGAAAGTTAGGGAACCAGCCTTGTGACCAGCAGGTCGCCAGTTCGATCCCCTGAGCCGACAGTACATGACTGAGGTGCCTTTGAGCAAGGCATGACAACAACCAAGATGACGGAACAGTTGTGTTGCAACAAGGAACTGAAGCGTCAGCTCGGAAAAAAGACGCAGAAAATGCTCTTTTATTTTGAACAGGCACCTCAACAGAGGCAGAAAAATGCCCAGTTCAGCACAACTCCAACACAAAACACAGATAGGGGGTAACATGGGAGGACCCAACATCCTAGGAGGGTAGAAACTTTTAACCACTAGTTACGCTACAAAGCCCTACGTGCTTGGATACAATCACTCAAACCACAAGAACAACACCAGCAGTACCTTTTTAAACAGGAGCGTGATACGCCCCCAAGAGCAACTTTGCATAGCCAAACCCCCTAAGCCCCTCACGGCAGTGTGGCCACTGAACTTTTCACAAACACTAAAAGGATCAGAATCTCCAAAAGCAGCTCAAACTGATATACAGTTTGTATATAGCCTGTGCGGAAGCTCTCAGAGTTTCAGCTCCTGAATGAAGTGATGAAGCTCTTCACACTTCACACTATACAAAATGCGCAGTAGCCCCATGTCACTGTTTGCCTGTTCTGTGAGTAGTAAAGAAGGTCTTATTTGTACTTAACTGAGCTACAGAGATCCGAGCTGTGAGTCAGACAGTTCGTAAAGTTTTAGCTACTGAAATGAGGTAGTTGTGTTCTTTTTTCACAGCATGAACAACTTGGAGAAATGGGGAAAAAAATATTGTGTCATGTCTGGTGTGTTTAGTTTTCATGTGAAAAAATTTGCGTCCAAGTAATTTGCATTATTTTTGTCCTTTTTTTGCGTTTGGTGGTATCGGCCTTTAGAATTTAACAGGCTGTTTTTTGTTACTGTGCCTTTAAGAAAGTTATATGTACATGATCTGTGTTTTGATTGGATGCCCTGCATTGTGCCTCAATCAAAGCAGTCCAGGCTGAAACATTCCTTACAACTTCAGTATGAATGGGCGGGGCTAAACTGCTGTAGACAAATACATGTAAATATCACAAAAACCATTGCATTCAAAACAGTGTGGACTGGGCAGACTACATGGTATTTTTTGAAAATTTAACAGTGTTCACTACTAAATCAAATTCTTTAATTAAAATGAGAGAATATAATAATGATATAATAACAATTTGACAAACTGGCTTTTAAGTACAAACCCATGTTTAAAAAAGTTAGGAAAAATGTAAATAAAAACAAACAGCAGTGTTTTGCTTTTGATTTGTGTTCCACTAAAAGCAGAACAAAGACAAGATATTTGCAACTAATTAATTGTATTGTTTTTCATATATGTATGCTTATTCTAAATTTGGTGCCTGCAAATGTTCCAGAAAGTTGTGACAGAGCTGAATTTTGAGCTCTGCGTTGGTAACAATCAAGATGATCCAGATCTCATGTGGTTATATCCATTATAGAAGCATGTTGGTTTTCAGTGCCGTCTGAAGGATCGGAGGTCACGCGCATTCAGTATTGGTTTTCAGCCTTGCCCTTTACGCACATCACTGCATCTTTTAATAACATTATGACTGTAGATGGTGAAATCCATAAATTCCTTGTGTTGGGAAACTTTGGTCACACAGTTTTTCTCAAAATGCTGACTGAGCCTTTTGTGAATGCTCTTTTATAGCCAATCATCATAGCATCACTTCGTACCCATTCACCTGTTTAGGAGTTTCCTGTAGAATTTTTTTTTCATCATTTTACATTTTCCCATTCTTACGCTGCTCCTGTCTCAACTTTTTTGAAATGTGTTGTCATCAACAAATATGGAACTAGTGTACAAAAATCAATAGAGTATATGTGATAAAATACTACATTTGGGTCAAGCGTCACGCTGTGGTTGAAGTTTGGCCTACATTATGAACTCGCTGGAGTTGGCAAAATGAAAGGGATTTTCAAAAATCACTGCTATCGTATCCTGTGGTAAACTAAATGGTTCCAAATGCAGTATGTTCTGTCCTACATACATTTGAATACACTGAATATCACATAATTATCTGAATTACAAGATCATTAAGGAGTCAGAATCCACTGTTAAATACCAACACCAGCCATTCAAACTGTAGTTTATAACTGCCAAAGCAACTTAACTACCACCCTGGATAAAGCCTGCTAGTTTGTTTTGGGGTATTTTGATTAGGTCAGTCTTATGATGTCAGGTCAGTGCACAGCAGTGTCAGCATGCATGAAGGCATATACATATTTTAGAGGTTATATTTTAGAGAATCCAGCGATGGTTGGAGTAAAAAAAACTATAAGGGAAAATGTATTGTAGCTGAAGCATTTCTGTTTATTTCAGGGCAGTGGCGATCTTTAAAAAACTATTAATTTTTCTCATAGAGAAATCCTACTTAAGCCGTCTTTACAACTTTAGCTGCTTGAAACCAATATGGAACTAAATTGCTGCATATGTAAAGCAACTCATTTGAAACTGAGCCACAACAATTACAATTGTCTCAACTTCATTAAACAGCCAATCAAATTGAATTAAATTAATTTTCTCATCTCTTCATGCCCCATAATTTTACTCAGATTTAAAAAGGTCCAAAAGATGGAAATTATTACCGAAGGGGAGACTCATGCTTCTGGGACAGAATGAACGAGACTTTAAATAAGCTGTAACCATAATGGTTACTTTAACATTCATTTTCAAAGGCATAACATAAAACAACAGATTAAAGCCTAAAATATATAGTAAAGAAACAGTTGGATGTATAGATAAAAGATAGGTATAGAGATTTGGAAAAAAAAATGGCAACAACAACTCGAAAAAAAGGAGACAAATGCAGCAAATATGCAAACATAAATAACACCTCGCAGGTGGCTTTATATAGTTAGAATGATACAAAGTACGAAACAAATATGATTTGGGCTCTTGAGTGGTGTAACAGTATAAGTGTTGGCTCTCCGAGTGGGTAGGGTGGCCCTGCCTCTCCCACATCACTTCCCGTGATGCTGGTCAGTGCAGGCATCTATTATCTGACCTAACATATCTGGCGGTTAGTGTTCTCCTCCGAGCGCATTCAGCTGTCCAATGATGTTGCATGAGCGGCAGTTCGAGAAAATGCAGTGGCGCTTCATAGGTCTCAGAGGAAGCCTGTGCTGGCCTTCACCCTCCTAGCGCTGGTGGTTCGTGTGATTTAGGGAGTCCTAACTAGGACTAAAATTGGGGAGAAAATTGGGGGAAAAAAATCTTGTCCCAACTTCAGCATCAGCTGTTCAGCTGTACGTTACACCAGCACCAAAGCACTTGACCAGCCAAACCCTGCCCTCCGCCTCCAAAACCTGATCAAGGCTATTAAGAGAGATTGAGACTCAAAGATGAACCTGAAATAAAGCAAAAAGATGACCAATCTATGATTAAATGCTGTATTAATTGTTTAGTTATGTCATGAGGCACCAAATAATGACCAAAAAAATAAATAACTATAAATAAAATTTCATAATGTAAAGCTGGTAATATTTCTCTGTATCTTTCCACATTAGGTTGGTGGGGCCTTTAACAGCCCAAATGCAGAGAATGAGCTGAACATCATTGCGTCTGATCCAGACAAAGACTATAAATTTAAAGTGGATAACTTTGATGTGCTGAACAAAATCCTTAAAACTCTGGAGACGAATATAATTAGAATTGAAGGTACGTTCAAAAACTTACTTTGGTGGATAAACTTGAAGTTTTCTCTGAGTAGGCTACTGCTGCTATAAATGACATAATAAGTATAAAGATTCATTTTATCAGATTAATATTATATGTGGTTTAGACATTACAGTCTAGTACAGTAGACTATAAATTTACAATGTTTTACCTTTATTTTTCTGGATGTGTGTTGATCTGTAACGGTCATACTTGGTCTTTCTACCTTTTCAGGTACCCAGACTTCAGGAGATTCCACCAAAATGGAGTTTGCGCAGGATGGGTTCAGTGCAGCGTTTGTTCCAAATGTAAAGAACAGATATTATTTTTCACAGTTTCATTACGTGGTTTTAGTGAATTTGCATCAATTCATTAGATTCGTAGAAAAGCCAGCACAATCAGATGCTGCCTTTCGAGGATAGATCCATTTGATACTTACAGAGTCAGGTGGGTCAGACAATGAATTCTTAGTTTCTGTTTTGTTTATTTTACTTTTAACTGCTTGAGTAAAAGTGAAGAATTCACAGTATTTGTTACTAGGTACAAATAAATAAATACATAAATGAAAATAAATAAAATTAGAATAAATAAAGAAATAAATAAGCAAGTATGGAGATGAATGGTAGCCTGTGTAAAATTAATGTTATTTTCATTGATTGGATTCCGAATGAGGAGAGCAGTGACCTATTTATCTCCCATTTGCCAGTTCTGTGTATGTTTTAGATATGTAGATGGTACAATGTGGTGTTGATGTACTGATTTTAAGCATGTAGCAGTGGTGCTAGAAAGCTGCATGTGTTGTATGACAAATAAAAATAGTGTAGTACTGAGATAAAATGCCCATAACAATCTTCATAAAGTGTTAATCCCAATAAGTGGACTGATTTGTCCTTTTAAGTGTGGAATAAAAATGCATGTACATTTTTAAAACCCTTCTATGAAATGTGCAGGTAAGTCGTTTTCTCCACATTAAGGTTCCCTACAATAATATTTCCCAAAGAGGGCATTCCTAGCTCTTAAGCAGATGCCTCCATTGATATAGAAGAAACCCACACCAGCAGGAGCTTACACATGCTCATACAGTTACAATTACAAATTTAAAGAAGCAAGACGAAATAGTTGGTTATCTAATGGTAAAATCCTAAAATTACAGGCTTTAAATATAGCATTAAAGCCCTAGTTTAATCAACTTTTGGGCATTTTTGTTTGTTGCAAAACCCTCTGTGTACAAATATTTAAAGATACACTCTGTACATTTTGAGGATTTGGAGACCTCTCTGGTGGAAATATGTAATTGCAAGCAACATGTAGAGAAACATTTTGTAGTGTAGGTTGTGTGAGCCCTTCCCTGAACGGATGAATCTGATGATTGAAAGAGAATTAAAGGAGAACTCAGTGTAAACTTGGTGAAGGACTTTTAACTGCACTAGGACTTTTTTAATGGACAAACTGCATATGCACACACACTCAGTAGATCCTGTCTATGTGTGCAACTGTGATCTTTTTGTTATGGCACAGGATTCACTTCTAGCATGTGCGACAATATTGTCCTACTGTACAGCACTGTCAAGGCTGCTGTGGTGGCAAATTTCCAACACAGCGATGTTTGTGTGCCACCATGATAATAAAGACAATTTAAAAATAGAAGGCCTATCTTGGCAAAAAGGAAGGCATACCTTGGCATTAGGCTACCTTAGTTAAATATTGGTTAGCTTACTGTGGTATGATTTGCTGAACATAAAAACAGCATGTATTGGTCTATTTGAAGCTTATTTTATAGTAGAGGCCATGCAGCAGAACAGAAAAGTGGAAGGCAAGCTACACAGAACAGTAAAGCTGCAGTGACACCAAATGAAAATAAAATTTGTGTAGGATGCAGAAATGTAAAAAAGGAATTCATTTCTGGTAGCAGTTATTTTAACATCACACCAAGTTCATCTAGTTGAACAGAAGGGTGAACTGTTATAGTGTTATAGGGTGTAGCTGCTTTTGCTTTAAAATGCACTTTTGCATGCATAGAAATGCTTCCGCAAAATAAAATAAATAAAGGAATCTTTTCCAGAAAGAGTCCTCCTCACTCCTGCCAAAACCTGAGACAGGACAAAGACCATTAATCTGGTACCTGGAGACCAAGACCAGACTTCAGCTTTACTGTACAGAATTTTAATTATACAATTGGCTCATAAAACAAGCCCTCTGGTCAAATTTAGTGCTGAGGCTTAAACGTGCAAATCTTTTCTCTATTCAGTTGCATCAGTATTTCAGAAAACCTGCTCTAGGTCAGCTGTAAGTTTTACTAAGTAAATACTTATGTGGTTTGATATCATGAGATGGAAGTTCTTCTGGCAGCAGTTTTCCAGAACTTATTGTACTCTACAAAGCATCTCTGTGCAACAGCACTCATTTTTACAACACAGATTCCACCCAGGGGGAACCTGAATTGGTAAACAACAGATACGCACATTCAGATGGTCTTATTTTCTTCCCTCTTTAAAATATGAGTTATTATCTGTTTTGATGTTTATGTGCTGGAGCTGATGTTTGTTTGTGTGTTTAGGGAAATGTAGTATTAAGTGCAGCTGGGGCTTTCCAGTGGAAAGGAGGATTCCAGGAGTATTCAGCTGGGCGGCCTTACGAATTTCAGCAGGGCAGTGAACACGACAGTTATCTAGGTGAGAACTGTCTCTAAACACTAAGTACATTAATCTCTGGGACATTTGAGCTGAAATGAATATTTCACAAAAGGCTTTTCTGACCCATATAAGTCAAACAGTGCTTACCACATACTTGATTAGACACAGCTAACTTGTAGCGCCACCACTTCTCCCACTTGTGATGCACAGTTTGTGTTGGCCATCCTCTATCTCAGCACATCATACAGAAGAAAACATAATTGGAAGGATACAGCCACTAGAAGCATTTGGCTATTCAGTGGAAAAGAGGCCTTTCAGGTCAACAGCATCTATGAAGCGATTAGAGGATGCTTAATTTTTAGATGGGAATACAGGTTGGAGATGTTTCCATCTCAGATACCATCATAATTTTCGAAGTACTTTATTACGTATATAGTACCCAACCCTAGTAATTCCACAAAAGCAGTCCTGTGGTCAAAAATGCAAGAAGTGGTTTCTAATAAAGTGGATGGTGGGGGTACATTTTATTTTTAATGATTATATTCTGAGCTACAGTCTTCTTAAACAGCAGTTCAGAGATTAGCTTAGGTCCTGAAATTAGAGCAGTTTACATAAATATAATGGAGATTGATGACTAAATGTTAAAGCCTACATGTTTCAATTAAATGTAAATTAACAAGTTTAAGTAAATTGAACGAACTTATTATTTAAAGGGCCAAGGCTCAGCATAAACATATTAAACATATTTAGGCAAGTTACAATGAGTTAATGTAATATTAAAAATATTAAAATACAACTACTGTGTTCGCAGGTTATTCCATGACAGTAGCAACAACATGGAGCCGCACATATGTTGTTCTGGGAGCTCCGAGGCATGAGCATAAGGGAGCAGTGTTCATTTCATCAGTGCAGACAAAGAGATTAAATCAGCTGAATCATCCAGAGGTTATTTTAAATTAATATTTTATAAAGCTCAACAACACTTGACTAATAAATTAACAAAGCCAGAAAAAAAGTTATGCAATACCACATTCATACTAATAATACTAAAACTTACCTGAATGAAGGCCTACTAACAGGTCAGTGTTTCTCAACCCTGGCCCTGGAGTATCCTCTGACTGTCCAACAAAGTTTAGAGTGTCCTGTGCTCCCTAATTAACTGACCAATTAACAAGCCCTTCCTGAGGTTTTCTGGGTGAGTAAGAGCAGGACCTGGATTGAGAACCACTGTTGTATGTGCTAGAAAAAGAATCAGGAATAGTCAAACAGTGCTGTGCAGAGAGATTTGGAACACTTTTTGAGTGGTGCCGTTTTTTAGAATGAAGTTCTGAACCAGTTCTCTTTCTTTCAGCCTCAGATTGGAGCCTATTTCGGAGCTGAAGTGTGTGCGGTGGACCTGAACTCTGACTCCTACACTGACCTTCTGCTGGTTTCTGCTCCACACCACACACAGGACGGTCAGGAAGGAAAAGTCTTTGTATTCTCCATGTCAGACAGGGTAAAGAGAAATTCATACTTTTCAAATTTTAAAAGCTCATTTGAAGTTTGATGTGAAACGGTTAATTGTAGAAAAACTTACTGACTTTACAGTGGTGGTGATAGGAACCAGGGGTTGCCATGACTGCAACACAAATATAGACATTTTATTTACTATCCAGAACCACCAGTGAACCTACACGAGTCTTCTGAGTTTATATGGAATGTTGATGATGGAAAATAGTGGAAAATCTGAAAAAAGTTTTCCTTTTGCCTCACAACACTCTGGATGTGCCTCTCCACCATGAATGGATTTAAAATATATGTTTAAGGCCAAAAACCTTTCTGAAAACTATCATAAAACAATGAAATCAAGCAGCGTAATCATAACCATTGCATGTAATAATTTTCTGGAGGGAGCTTTTAGAGGTGGACGTCTGGTTCCTATCACCACCACTGTGAACAGTTCTGACTCGGTAAGTTTCTCTGTTTCACACCAAACCACTCTGACTGATTTTGTTTACATCTGCATTTATTTGAGCATGAATTTTAACTTCATCTGTATTATTTTTACAGCCAGAATTTAAAAAAATGACCCTGAATGGAATGGCGGGACAGAAGGGCAGGTTTGGCTCCTCACTGGCCAGTCCAGCAGATCTAAATGGAGATAAGATTCGAGATGTAGTTGTAGGAGCCCCATTGGAGGATAATGGACAGGGCAGCATCTACATCTTTAATGGAAGAACAGAGGACATCACCCCTACCTACTCACAGGTGAGCAAGACTCTGTCATAAAACTTTGTCATAAAACAAGGGAGTCTTGACAATTTTATGACAGTCTTTCACCTCCATTTGACTGATTCCTGTCTATACTACCCATTGGGGAACCTTTCACTGGCCAAAATGTCATTAAGAAATGGCAGTCAAGGGGAAGATGTGGAAATGTGATACTTTTTGTGTGTGGTCATAGCGTCCAAGAGGAGGTGCTAGAGAAGCCAGGACAGTAGGAGTTCCAGTTTAATAGCCACAGCTTTTATTAGTTCTCTGAAACCACAAAATAAGTGCACTATTTACAAGTGACGAAAGTAAAATACAAAAAGAGCAAACAAAAACTGAAATATATTTACACAATAAACGAGGCTCAATGCAGCCTTTATATAAGTTATTTATCCCCACAACTTAGGGCTTGACAGCATTAACTTCTGGCTTTAGTCCATAGATTCTGTCCTCTCACAACTGCTGCTGTTCGTCTGCAGGACAACTAAGGAAGACTTAGTCCGCTCAGTCCACCTCTTTCCAGCTTCGAGCAAGCCCCCCCTCTTTCTGAGTTAAGCTCTATCGCTTTTATGCATTCCTCTTCCCGCCAAACGCGATCAGACCGTACCACTCAACGGTGGTAGTCTCCTTGCTCATTTATAAGTCCATATGGAGAGCTGCGGAAAACCAAACCGCTCCCCCTTGGCGGAAAACGGGTAGTTTCTACCCTCTCCCATATAGGACCACCGTCTGTCTGAAAGTAAGTATACAGTTTCTTTATCATCCTCTTTTATGTTTTCCTCCTTAGGTTTCTTTGAGTACCGAGTTAGATATTTGGGTTTTGTCAATTAACGTGTTTTTTAAAGTGAAAGTTTGTGCTGTCCGCTCCAATATGTACACTCTCTTTACGGAAGCATTTAAATGAATAATCACATCCTTATACATCACCTCAAAGTCTGTTGTCCGTTCCCTTTTCCTGTGAGGAGGTGTGGCCTCGTAGAATTTTTCTAGTGACTGAGTCGTAGTCATCACAGGAAGATCAAGAAAACAAAGGCAAAGAAAAGTGACAGCAAATATAACAGCAAAGGACCTGCAGAAAGTTTTAGCTGTCACAGGCATGGTGATGCTTGGTGATCTGAAACAAGTGCTGTAGGATGTTTGGAGAAAAAAAGAGCAGCATGTGATGAAAAGAACACCTTGCCAGCTCTTAAGCATGGGGGTGGATTTATTATGTTGTGGGCTTGTGTGGCAGCCAGCGGCACAAAAAACATTGCATGAGTAGATGGAAGAATGGATTCCACTAAATATCAGCAAAATCTGGAAGCAAATGTGACACAGTCTGACAGAGGCTGAAGAGACTGTTTTCTACAACAGGATAATTATCCAAAACACCTCAAAATCCACCATGAACTACTTCAAGATATGCAAGCTGAAGCTTTTGGAGTGGCCCTCACAGTCTCCTGACTGAACATCACTAAAAATCTGTGGGTGGATCTTAATCATCAGAACATTAAACACATCTATGGTCCATAAATACATTTATGCATATATAAGAGTATGTGTATTAAAAGCTCTGTAACTAAATATATAATATTTATTCCTTCTAAAAGACTGCATTCCTGATGCTAATATTCATCACACTTCTGAAATCCCAGATATCGACTTGGTCCAAAACATTCCTGGTGGTGGTAAACAAGCATGCCCCTTATAAAAATGTTAGAATCCCAGATAGTTCAAATCCCTGGTTCAACTCTGGAATATCCTCCTTGCTTGGTGCAAGAAATAAAGCAAGAAGAAATGGGGATAAAGGCTTGCTTTCAGACAGCTAAGGAATAAATGTCCTTCCTACATCAGTAAAGCTAAAGCAGACTATTACCTTCAGTTATTTACAAATGCAGCTTCAATATCCTTTAAATTCTGGAAGACATTTAATTCACTCAGAGACAAATCGATGCATATGTCAACCCACATCTTGATTAATGATTATCTTAATACTTAAGTACTTATTATTTTTTTTAAACCTGTGGATATTTAATAATACTATATGGAAACACCTCTTATTGAAATAGATACACTCCCTGCTTTAAGGCATGGTCTCTTTACGATTCATCCTTTCTCTACTTGAATAGTAGCTAAAGCCCTTAACCACCAACACTGAAAAAGTACAGGAGTGGATCGTTTGGACCCCTTTTTTCTAACACATTACATTTGGATTACATTTATATTTTTAATCTATTTTATCAAGCAGAATTCCCAGTGTCTGGAAAACAGCACATGTAATTCCTCTTCACAAAGGAGGTGATGCCTCAGATCCTAATATGTATAGACCCATCTCCAAATTGTCATGCTTCGCAAAAATCTTAGAATCCTTAGTGAACAATCAGCTTAAGACATTTCTCCATGGAAATTTAGTTTTGTCAGACTACCAATCTGGTTTTAGGGAAAAGCGTAGCACAGTCTCTGCTGCTACACTCATCTTAGATGATCTTTTCAGTGCCATCAATAGAAAGAAACATTGTGTAATCATTTTCATTGATCTCTCTAAAGGCTTGATACAGTTGATCATTCCCTACTTTTAAAAAGACAAAATATTGGATAGACAGCAGTGTGGCCCTGGGACACAGTAAATTAGAGCTACTACCGGTAATTAAGAGGGCCCCCCAATGTTCAATCCTCTGACGAATATTATTTAACATTTATACTAATGACACTGCCACCTTCTTTGTCAATTGCAAAGTACATTTATATGCTGATGACACCAATCTGTAGGGCAGCATTCTTTTAATGCCTTACAATCAACCTTTCACAATAATAAACTAAGTCTTAAATGTAGAGAAAATTAAATTCATGCTGTTTTCCAGAGCCTCTAGTATTGAGCGCTGGAGGCATCCATGCAATCCAGCCAAAAGAACAACATCATCTGCAAATAGTAGGGATGCCACCCTCCGGCCTCCACACATAATGCCCTCCTGACCTCGGCTACGCCTTGACACCCTGTCCATGAATCTCACGAACAGGAGTGGAATCATACCTCTCTAGGTCTGTCAGTCATTGCAAACATGAGCACTGAAGTCTCCCAGCAAGACTATGGAGTCTGTAGGCGGGGCACTTTCCAGAACCCTGCCCACTCTCTCCAAGAAGGCAGAATACTCCGACCTGTTGTTTGGTGCATAAGCCAACTTCTACTACTTGTGAGTATCCCTACACCCGCCCAGCACCTCTTACCCTGTGCAACTCCTAAGTAGTAGAGGGACCAACCCCTATCAAGGAGTTTGGTGCCAACACTGTGGGTGGAGGCGAGCCCAACCATATCTAGTTGGTACGTCTCAAAATCCCACACAAGCTCCGGCTCCTTTCCCCCCAGTGAGGTTACATTCCTTGTACCAAGAGCCAGTTTCCGCCGCAGGGGTCTATGCCGCCAAGGGCCTCCCTACCATCTCCCACTGCCTATATGGCACTGCATGGCTGGGTTGCATGGGCTGCCCGGCAACCAGGTGCTCACCGAGGAACACTACCCTCAGGCCTGGCTCTAGCGGTAGGTCCCAGTAACCCTTTCCCGGGCAGGGTACACGATTTTCTGCGTCCTTTTGTCATGGAGGATTTTTTGGATTGAGTTAGTCTGGGTCTTCACTCCAGACCTGTTTGCCTTGGGAGACCCTACCAGGTGAATACTGCTACAGAAAAATGCTACTTATATGGTGAATTAAAAACTGACTCACCCCAAAACAGTTTAAAGCTCATCAAATGTTAAGTAGTTGTGCATTAGTTTTGCGGAAAATGTGTTTTTAATTAGCTGCGGAGTGTGTTTTTACCTTATTTCACTCAAAAAAAAATCTACAAAATATGTAATGTGGCCGGGGTGCCCAATCTTATGTATAAATGCAAGTGCAGCTCAGGAGCAGAATGTTTGAATAAAGGCAGAACACCTGACTACAGCTATATGACCGTCTCTTTTCTGCTTGTCTAATGACAGAGAATCAGTGGTTCCTCAGTACAGGCGGGTCTGCGGTTCTTCGGCCTGTCTCTGAGCGAGTCTGCTTTGGACCACAGTAGAGACGGTCTGACGGACATCGCTGTTGGATCCAAAGGAAGAGTCATTCTCCTCAGGTTTGGTCAAATATGATCAGAAACAAGTGGGGCACAACCCCCCCCCCGCGGCACAACCCCCACTTTCTTGAAAGTAACAATACATAAGTGCAATCGTTTTGTGAAGTTTCCTAGATTTGGAGTAAAGTTGACTGATTTGCATGACTTATTTGACAGGTCTCATGATTTTTCATTTCAAAGTTTTATTTTATTTGTGAATTAAATCTTCTGAACAAATCTGTTTGTGTAACCAATTCTTGCACAAGGCCCACTGCATTTATATTCATTTGCATGTTTATGTTAATATATATGTTTGTGATACTCAGGTCCAGACCCATTGTGTCCTTGGTGACCAAAGTAACCTATAGCCCATCAAAAATCCCCACCAAATCCACTGACTGCGCAAATCCTCTGGAAAACACTCTACGCTTGTGCTTCACTATGAGCGGACTCGACACTCAGATAAGAGGTCTGTACATCTAACTTAATTGCTTTTTATAGAGAAGTAGTTGCTTCACTTCCAAATAAGAGCTGTACTTTGTTTAAAATGCTGTTCTCTTCTGTTCAGGTTTGGCTGCAAATATTAACTACACTTTAAAACTTGATGCGAAGCGACAGAACTCTCGGGCGTACTTTTCACCTAAAAACCGCCTTCTGACTGATAAGATGACTGTTCAGCTACAGGAGGTGTGCAGAGAGCACAAGTTCTATATAGAGGTGAGTGAAAAGTTTAGTCTGTTGTGACTGGACATGTGCTGATTATAAAAAAAATATGATAATTAGCTAACCGCTTCATGATTTATAATGTTGTTATATCATTTACATTTACAGCATTTAGCAGATGCTCTTATCCAGAGTGACTTACAAAAAGTGCTTTGTTGTCCACTCAGAGAAAGTATCTTTGTTGCAAATAGGTTAGAGAGAAAGCCAGTCCTGAGTTCAGATATATTAGAAAACAAAGCAGGTTCTACATTATATTATTACATTATGTTACAGTTTGTTTTAGAAGAATATTTCTTCTACATATATTTTATTAAACTATTAGACTTAAACTCATTTAGATTTCTCCCATATTTAGAGTATAAGGTCAGCAATGTTAATTAAATTTTTTTTGCCGTCGCTTTTTTTGGTTAACTTTGCCATGGGTGCTTGTAGCTCTTAAAGGCACTAAATTGTCATACTAAGAAAGCCTAAAATGATGCATGAAAGTTCAGTGAAAAGCTCAGTGTCCACAAATAATCCTCTGTTTTTTTTCTTCTCTTTCTTGTCCCATGCAGACCTGCACAGAGGACGCTCTAAACCCGCTGTCCAATGAGTTAACATTTGCTTTTGAGGGCCTCCCTCTTAGCAGACTGGATAACTTAAAGCCTGTACTTCACCCCGACATAAGAAATACTTCAAATCACAATGTAAGAGCTGAGAGTTTACAGTAAGCCTTTCATCTTCAACAGAAATATACATCTGCTGCTATTAAGGACATTAAATACAGCAAAAGACATTAAATGATACAAATCAAACTGAGTTGCACTCACTTTCCACACTTTATGGCCCAATCCCATTTCACCCCTCGCCCCTACCACTTAGCCTTACCCCTCCATTTTGCACGTTCATGTCCAGGGTTAGGGTTGTCCCGATTGTTGTTGGGATAGAGTGTATGATGAAGTGTTAGGGCTACATGACTCTCCAAACGGAGGTTTTTCAGAGTCACACTCCAAACAGTGTTATGAGAAATCAATGTACAAATCAATAAAGGAAACACATTATGTGCCTATCATAAGCAGGTTCATCAAACGATAAAAGAATCCAAAGTCACTAACTTTATACACGCTAGCTAGTGTGCTGTGTAGCTAGGCTAACTACAACAAAACGTGTTTGCAGTCTGTCCTACATACCACAAACCAATCCACCAGCATTCCCAGGTGCTGAAGACATTTTCATTTTCTTACATTTCTCTGATTTGCTGCAGACAACCGTAAAAGCCACCAACTACTGGTGACGTGTTGAGTTCATGAAGGGTTGCCCAATTTTGTAGGGGAAGATTTCAACCACTACCCCATCTAATTCAGTTCCAAGGGGCAAGGTGGCACTCAAAAGCAAGGAGTAAGGGTAAATATAGGAAATGGGATTGGGCCTATATATACAGTAGTGCTAGAAAGTTTGTGACCCCCTTTAAATTTTTGCTATTTCTGCATAAATGTGACCTAAATTGTGATGACAACTAAGTCGTAACAAAATAAAGAGAACCCAATCAAATAACGCCGGCAGCGTTATTTGTTATTTGAGCGTTATATGGTATGTTTGAGGTTGTTCTCTTGCTTCAAGACCCGTCT